ATGATGAGGGCAATGAATGTACAAATGTGCTTTACACAATTGATGTATGTATGGATTGTGATAAGAGTTGTATGAGCTCCTAATAAAACAATTTTTAAAAAAAACAACCAGCTCTAGCCCGAGGACAGGGGCTGTGGAGCCCCAGGTTCCTGGTCCAGTCCGGCTTTTGGAGCCTCTGTAAAGAACAGAGTCACGCCTGACGAGGGCCGCGGCAGAGGGTAATTTAAAAATGGAAGTGGAGATGGAGAGGTAGAGGGCGCTGTGTTTTCATGATCAGGCCCTTGGCTGTTACAGCCACGGGACACTCTACCTTCTGGGCTTTCTTCAGCGAGGCGTAATACTTCGACCACCAGTCAATGACGTTTTCAGCAGACTCGTCTGCTATGGTCCTCTTCTTTCTTTTGGTGGACCTCCGGGAAGGTTTCCTGGCATCCTGGAAGGAGACAAGGGATGGGTTAAGGACTAAGACCTCACAGAGCTACATGCAGGGGGCCAATAGTTAACTGGGAAAGAGAGTACTTAGGTACCTATTGAAGCGGGGGGGAGAGGGGGTGCGAGTAGTGGTTGGCTTTGTGCTATCAACCCATTGTATCATTGCAATAAATGAAAGTTGAACCATCTCTTCCTTCCTTCCTCCCTCCCTCCCTTCCTAACACATCTCTTGAGCAGATGTTGGATGTTGCGCTGTGTATTGGGGATGGCAGCAGAACGAGTGCATCTCTGGGAAAGCTTACAGTTCAGGAGGGAAGATGGGCACGCATCAAGTGAATGCCCAACTGTATAAAAGAGGGGGCTTCCCAGAGTTCATGGAAGAATTTCCATTCCGTTTCCACACAAACTTTTGGAAGCCCTCACAGAAGAAAGAGCAGTAGCTATAGACAGATCTGGGCTATAAACCATAGCACACCATTAACTATACATGAAACAATTAATACAGCTTTTCTGTTTCCTCCATGAGTAGACATTAATAGCTGCCAGTTTATTGAGTGACACAATATAGGCAAAGCCCTTCTGACATTGTTTCCAACTTGAACAGGTACGACTACCTTTTCAATTCAATCTACAATGTACATGATGGAGAGGTCAGAGTGGCAGTAATACTCAGGGGGTAGGAGTGAGGCATTTTGGGAGAAGACACATTGCCTAGATAAAATTCCTCCTGTACCCATCATCCATTGTCCCTCCTGGACATCTCTGAGTACCTACTGTGTGCCAGGCACTGTCATCATTGAGAGAAAACTGCCACCTCTTTCTCCGGAAGAATCACTGATGGATTCAAACCACCAACCTTTTGGGTAACAGTCAAGTGCTTGAAACACTGCACCACCAGGGCTCCTGACCCGGCAAGAAGTAAGTTAAAACTATTTGTGGAACAACCCCTGGTGAAGAAGTCATTGTCTCTCCAACCTAAAAAACTCTGAAGGGTTTTTGCCTAATTAAATATTGGCCTCACATTTGACAACATGCTTTCATAGCCACTGACGGACCTGATCTTCACAGAGTGCTGTGACCTGGGTATCCCCATGTCACAGCCGAGGAAGCTGGTTCTCAGAAACACGACGTTGCTTGCCACCAGTCACATGGCTAGTCGGTGGGAGGGTCGGTGTCTACAATCCCCTCTGCCAATCTACCGAGCCTTGTCAATCTGACCTTAGCTTTCCCATCTGCTGGAGGCACTGGCGCTGCAGGCTTGGGCTCGGGCTCCAGCATCAGGGATGAATCCGGGATGTCCACCACCGTGGCCTGCTGAGCCTGGGAGGGGTCAGGCACCACAGTGGGCGGTGGCTCCACATCGACAATGATGTGATCTCGTGGGGGCTCCTGGGAGGAGCTGGGAGGCCCGGGGGTCCCAGTGTCTATCAATGAATCTGAAACAGCAAGCGGTAGCTCATCAGGTCAGGCAATGGGAGGGGGTGGGCAACGCAGGGTAGTCATTTGAGGGACCCAACACAGGGAGTCGGGCACATCTGGATACAAAACCAGGACATCCCCAGGATCTCTGTCTGGCACTGTCCTACTTATTAAGTGGTGTGAAAATACGCAGCTTGCTGCAGACTGAAATGAGAACACACTGGATACACCTGGTATGCAAAAGGTCACCAATGAATGGCTCTATGTGTAATTTATCCCTCAGCATAGTTTTAAAGTTTTAACCAATTAAATTATCAGGATCGGGTCAATCACGTTTTCTGACAGGGTCCTCTATGTGCGTTGTCTTCCCCTAGGACAGTGGTGCTCAACCTTCCTCATGCCACGACCCTTTCCTACAGTTCCTCGTGTGGTGGTGACCCCCCAACCAGAAAATTATTTTCGTTGCTACTTCATAACTGTCATTTTGCTACTGATGAATCATCATGTAAATATCTGATAGGCAGGATGTATTTTCATTGTTAAAAATTGAACATAATGAAAGCATAGTGATTCATCACGAAACAATATGTAATTATATCTTGCTAAATATTTATTTCTAATTACAAATAAATGAAATTTTGTCGTGTAGCATGGGTAACTAACAGTCTTCACGCCGGACCTAGGTGGGCATATCTGCACGTGGGCAGACCCGCCTGTACATGTCTCAGTTCCTAAGACCATCGGAAATATGTGTTTTCTGACCGGTCTTCGAGGACCCCTGTGAAGACCCCCAAAGGGGTTGCGACCCACAGTTTGAGAACCGCTGCCCTAGGGGGTGAACTCCTGGAGCTCTGGAGATTCAGAGGCCTGGCAACTCCCCAAGTGGGGGCAGAACTCTGGGAAGGTGCCCATGTGTTTGTGGGGATTTCACAGGGGTCTTAACTAGGCCGTTATGCCAAAAAATAAGTCTTTCTGCCAAAGTCCTCTTCTCTCCACTCAGTTCTATGGACTTCAGCATCTGCAAACATTCCCAGTCTGGAGCCTCCCTGGCCAGGGTCTCTAGAATGTTGCTCCCCTCCCCCCACCCCCACGACTGGCTTTTCAACAGTGAATTCAACCCAGAAAACACCGACAGGCTTCTAATCTGTGCTGAGCGCACAGATGGAGAGCTCAGAGGGCAGAACAGAGAGCTCCGAATAGGCCAGGATGCACAGCGCCTTGATTCAGGAGACAGAGGACAGCACGAACCAATGGAGAAAGCATGACTGGTTAATAGATTCTTAGAAGGAACATGGTTCCCCGTATAGAAACACAGCCAGATCCCTACCTTATGCCACATGTACGTATCTACATGTGAAAGGCAAAACTGAAATGCCAATGAAAAAAAAAATCAGATCATAATGGGGCTTCAACGTTTATAGGAAATGGAATTAGAAGAGAATGGAATGTCCCACAAAATTTGTGAAGCTCCGTCATATCCCTGTGTGAGGTAAAAGGGTTTTCTTTTTTTTAATTTAAGGGAAAAATTTCTTTTAAAAATACCTCCAAAAGTACAAACCATAAAGTCTAAAACATGAATGGACTTGATTCCATCTGAATTAAGGATTTCTGCTTAAAGAAGGTAGTGTTGTCGGCTAAGCATTGAACTGCTAACTACCAGGTCGGCGGTTCAAACACACAGCCACTCTGCAGGAGAAAGATGAGGCTGTCTGCTCCCATCAAGATTCACAGCCTCAGGAATGTTATAGAGGGTCACTGTGAGTCAGAGTGAACTCAATGGCAGTGAGTCTGGCTTCTGATTTGGTGGAGTTATTTTGCTCAGAGGTGGAGATCATACACAGGGTTAGCAGAGAAGATATGAGCAATATTGACAACCAATTGGGCGGTAGCATCTCAAAAATACCCAGAACTCAGGAACCAAAAAGAAAATTAAGGAAACATATCAAATCTGGGCAAAGACTATAAACAGACAAATTGCAGAAAAGGAAATGAAGACTGGCAACAAGCGTATGAAGAGTTGCTCAGACCTACCAGCAAATTGAAAGATCCAATCAAAACTAAAGACCAGATGCTACTGAACCCACCGCCACTGGTTTTGACCCACAGAGCCCCTGCATGAGACTTCTGAGGCCAGCACTCTTAATGGGCGTGGGTAGCTTCAACTTTCCCCCCTGGAGGGGCTGGTGAGTTTGAAATGCTGAACTTGGCAGTGAGCAGCTCACTGCTTACCTAGAAACACAAGAGCTCCTTTTATACCCATGAGATTAGCAACCCCCCAAATCAAAGTAAACTCCTACTTGCTGATTAGCAAATGTTGCTAAAGATACAGCTGGGGATCTGGGGGCACGGCTGAATGGAGTATAGACAAATGTAGACCAGTGCAGGCTCTGAAGTCACCGCCGTTGAGTCAATTCTGGCTCACAGAGACCCGACAGGACAGGGTAGAACTGCCCCATTGCATTTCCAAGGCTGTTGTCACTAAGGGAGCAGATTGCCACACTGCTCTCCTGCCTTGAGGCTGGTGGGTTTGAACCACCGACCTTGTGATTAGCTGCTGTGTGTTTAACCAGGCACTGTGCAGACTGGCATCAACTGTCCAGCTCCCTCTGACAACACTTAATGTAGATTCCCTGTGACCCGGCAGTCTCACCCTGAGCTGCATATTCCAGAGAAATTCCCACATAGGTGGCTCCCTCAGGGAACACCTCCCTCCCCACCAAAAGCCCCTAAACCCTCATTACCACCCAATCAATTCCAACTCATAGTGACACTATATGACAGGGAAGATTGTCTCTGTGAGTTTCCAAGTCTCTAACTCTTTACACAAGTAGAGAGCCTCGTCTTTCTCCCATGGAGCAGGTGGTTTCAAACTGCTGACCTTGTTAGCAGCCCAGCGCATAAGCACTACACCACCAGGGCTCCCTCAGGGAACACCCACAGAGTATCCATCAGTGCATCCTTTTCGGAAACGGGGAAGTGGAGGCTGCCTCGGGCCCAAGACTCGGGGAAAGGGAAAAGCAGGTGCAGATGCAGCGGGCAGTGGCAAGAAGCTGACGGGCACAACGCACCATGGACCGATCTTACAACGTAGGTGCTGAGTGACAACGAGTGAGGAGCTCATCGAAGCCTAGAGCGCCACCCCGCCCACGTAAACGAAAGACACACACCGCTTGTATCAAGGCTGGGGGTGTGGAGCCCCTCGGGGAGGGGGCAGCGAGCCGGGATATGAAGAAAGGTATGGCGGGAGGTGCATACAATGAGAGGATGCCTTCCACAGACCAATGGTGATGCTACGGCAAGAACTAGAAGCACAAGGCACCCACTTCTGCACCCGAGATCCAAAGGGAGCCGGAGACTGTGGCCCGGAGACACGCCTCAAGCCTAAAACCAAGCCCACCGTCAGGGCCCACTCTCAGCCAATCAGCACGGCGGTCCATGCCGTGACTAATGAGAATCAAACCTGGGAGGAACGGGCTCCCCAGCAACAACAAGAGATGAGCTCAAAGGGCAGCGTTTGCCCACCAACACAGCTCAGAGGGCAGGGAGGGGACGAAAACAGCGCCCCCAGCGAGGCAGCGGGAGGAGCGCCTTGGCAGTGAGGGGCTTACAACCAATGTCGAAATGCGTGAAAGTGTTTGAATGGGAAAGGAATTTCCTCTGTAAACTTTCATCCAAGCCACAATAAAACACCCAAGGCCAACAAAGTCGGCCTGAATGAATGGACATCAAGCAAAAAGCCAAGTAGCTCTATGGGGGTGGAGGCAGGGGCAAGTTCCAGCCCTGGGCAAGGAAGGCTCCTTGGAAGAGGTGAACCTGATGGGAGCCCTAAGGTAATAGACTGGCACCTATGGACGGCATAAGGGACAACAGGAGCAAACGCTTCAGCGTGATCATGGTCAGGGCACCTCTCGGGCCCACGGCCCAGGGCAGGTGATCCGTGACCCCACTGCCCTGTGGTCTGTAGCCCAGCATCCAGGGGGTGCCTCCTACCTTGGCCAGCTTGGGCTCCATCCACCTGTGAGGTGAGGGCAGGGGGCTCCCTGGATTGGCACAAAAACTGCTTCAGGCAGTTGATGGTGTAGGTGCCCACCAGGGTGCTCCTGCCGAAGGCTCGCCAGTCCACCACGCAGATGCTCAGGGGCGGGTGCAGAAGTTCGTTCTCGGGCAGCTCCTGCGAGGGGAGGCAGCTTTCAGCAGGGCTGGGGGAGTCGGGGGTGGGTGGGAGGGAGAGGAAGTGTGGGCCCTGCCTGGGGTGGGTCCGGCTGCTCAGACCAAAGGTTTCAGTTTCATCAAACATAGACTTCCATACCCCTGACAGCCCTCAAGTTCGATCTTATTGCTTCATTATTTACTGGTAGAACTCTCTCACACACACCCCCAAGTAAAAGTCTAACCAGACCCAACATACAATATACCCATGAAGGTTTAGCCACTGAAAGTGAAGCAGGGGGTCAGGTCAGGGCTCGTCCGCCTGTCTCTTCCAGTGCTTCCTGGGGTTCCATAAAGCCCAGTGTGCAAAACTGGTAAACACATCCCAATCCTGGCCCTCTCGTCTTGGTTCATTTAGTATCATGTGTACCACGGAGTTCGCTGGGATGGACAAAGCCAATGTTTTTCTTCCAATTAGAGCACAAAAAGCATGACAAACAAGTGTTGAAAGAAACAGAAAGCACAGGTGTTGAAGAACATGAGTTCACCTGTAAGCTGCTGACATGCTGTGAACAGAGAGTTTTTTAAAAATCTAACC